TCATTTAACTCATAATTCATTTCCGAACAATATAATTCTAATCTCATTCAAGAACGAGAAACATTGTCACAGTCATATCAGGCCTTATTTATAATAAAGCACTGTCGTGGTCATATCAGGGTTTAACATTACCACAGTCATGACACTGGCCTAGCATGAATTATGAGTTAAAGTAGTAGTAGTATCCTAGATTTACATATTTAAGGTAGATAAATGATAACGTTTTCGATTACAGTATTCTCATGCTACTAAATGTCACTAATATAACCATTGTCACGGTCATATTGTGCTTTAACATTACCACAGTCATGACAGGCCTTGCAACCATTGTCATGGTCATATCAGGCTTTAACATTATGATGGTCATGACAGGCCTTGTAACCACTGTCACCGTCATAGCAGGCTTTAACATTACCACGGTCATGTCAGGCCTTGCAATATAGTATAGTATTGTCACGGTCATATCAGGCTTTAACATGACCACGGTCATGACAGACCATGCGATATAATATAGCATTGTCACTGTTATACCAGGCTATCACGATAACACTTCCACGGTCATAGCAGGATCCTTGCGAAACTTAAAATTACTTAATAACATGGTGACGGTTGTGCCAGGCATAGGTCTTGCAACAGATAGGGTCTCCATAAAAATACTTGATAACATGGTGACGATTGTGCCAGTCATACATGTAAGTCTTGTAGATAGGGTCTCGAGAAGCATCAACATATAAGAGGCCACACACTTTATTAGCCAAACTAGAACTAATTCAAGATAAACGAAAGTCATTTATGTACAATAGGAATATATTTTCCATATATTTTTGCATAATGATATTTTAATTTCTTTTTTTTAGGTTTAACTGACGCAGTGAAATTTTTTGAAAATCAAAATCAATGGGCGATAATTCATCATACTCACTTTACGGGAAAATTACAAGTTTAATGTTGAATTTATGAGAAAAAATCATTACCCTGTTTGATCCTCGCTTAGTCTTGTTCACTTTGAGCAACTTCTTACCTTCAGATCGGCTATATTGATTATAAACTAACGGTACAAGACTTCCAGAAAGATATTTCGGCAAAATAGCACGGGTTAAGAGCGCTCTGATTGGTTGGATTTGTAGCACGGGTTAGGAGCGCCTCTATCGGTTGGACTTCGAACTAAATTCCAGCACGGGTGTGAAAGCCCAACTGTCCTGGGCTACCCAAGTGTTCTGTCTCTTGACCAACTGTTCTGACAACCTAAGTGTTCCGAGTTCACATATTTTATCACGGACATCTAATACGTTCTTCGAACTGCCCTGGAACTATATCTATACCAGGACTGGCATCCAGATCCAAGTATTTTTTAGACCGCCGACTCTAGTTGGGCTATTTATCCCTATTGACTCAGTTGTTCATATAAATTTACGTACCTTAGATGCTTTGTAATCGACGTAGATAGAAAATATTGTTTCCTAAATTGTTCTGAAAAGCGATAATTATTACTAAATGTACTTTGAGAACAGGTCGACTGACCAAAAAGTCGGACTTCTGGCACAAGGTCACGTGACCAAATAGAATTTGTATAGATAAAATTGATGACGTCACCGCCATCGGTGTAGGTCAGGTCAAAAGTCATCAATCTTGCCATTTGCCCAGCGTATTCTTACCAGTCGACAAAAAACGATGAAATCACGTTGAAAATAAAATATACGCTTTAAAATTGAGGCTGATTGAATATGACGAGACTCCATTGAATACATCTGTGCAATTTACAGTCACCAAGATGAGCTAATTTGGGAGAGATTCGGTGAGATTCGGGAATTAAAAAAGGTAAGCCCTTCCGGTTTCCCAACTTCAAGTATTTGAAATCCCAGAATTTCGCCAGAAACATTCTCTCTGACTGTGTATTTTATAATATCTTAAAATTCACAAGAGAGGGTGCCAAAAGTTAAAAGTGCCACACGATGAAGAAAGAGAGCCAGAAAATGTCGCACCCATTTTTTTCAAAAGGCCAATTTTCCTGAACAAGTTGAGACATACTTAGTATTCCTGAAACTGAGACCCAGTCTACATATATCGATATATTCTGTCCAAATATCCTATTGCTCAGGAGTGTTCAATGGTGCAAAGGTCGAACACCCGGGGATTTGACACTCCTCAATGGGTGCCCTGTTACACTCCCCTCCATAAGTTTGGCAACCTTAGCTCCCCCATTGAACTACGTGTTAAAAGCCTCTTTACCTTTGAATTTTTATTTACTTAACCTACCATGAAAATACTTATACTATTAACGGAAACGTAATTTGACTTTATTTCCAATACCTCAACATTTTCTCAATTTTTTCCCTCAATTACAATAAGTTGAAAATTGATGATAAATTTGATGAATTTTTGAAAATCGACATTCCCATGTTAACCAATGGGAAATGATAGGTTTGCCGCAAGTCATATGACAGAATATCCATCCATCCGAGTCCTTGCAAAAATAGGAATAAGGCAGGCAATTGAATTTGTTAACTTTATTTAACAAAAAATTGATATGTTTCTTCAGGTTCAACAAAGGTATAGGGCTTTAAAGTCAAAATAGTTTTTCAAAAAACCTTTCCCATTGAAATAACTCAGGAGGCCAAAAATTATTTTCAAAAATGACTTTGAAGCGCTGTAACTTTAGTATTCATCAAATAAACTAAACACTTAGTGTACAAAAAAATTAGACAATTCAATTTTCTATATACATTTTTTTTGCTGAATCTTTTACTGAAAATATATCCTGATTTCTGATTTGCCCGAACCCTCCATTTCCCATTGAATTACATGGGAATGACGATTTTCAAAAATTCATTAAATTTATCATCAATTTTCGACCTATTCTAATTGAGGAAAAAATTGAGAAATTTTGGAGGTATTGAAAATAAGGTCAAGTTACGTTTCCATTAATATTATAAGTTATCTCATCGCCGGTTAAGTAAATAAAAATTCAAACGTAAAGAGGCTTTAACACGTAGTTCAATAGGGGAGCTAAGGTTGCCAAACTTATGGAGGGGAGTGTAGTTATATATAAAAAAGGAAAATCTTTTGTGCATGAGACAGCCACATTATAAGTGATTTGATTAACTTAATTTCAACAGTCATCTCTGTAGAAATCTAAAATTGGATTAGAAATTGAAAAATCATCATATCGAGTGTATTTGCTAAAATAAGTAAACCCAGAATACTTGGGTCAATTCAGAATATTTCGGCAGGAGTCGGAATACTTGGGTAGCCCGGAACACTTGGAGCTTACACACACGGGTTTGATCTGAGGCCCAGGGTTTGATCGAACCTCAAACCTGTGCTAAATTCTAGCACGGGTTTGATCAACCTCAAACACGTGCTAAACTTTAGCACGGGTTTGATCAACCTCAAACACGTGCTAAACTTTAGCACGTGTTTGATGTGTATCCGGCATCGAGTGCTTCTGGGTGCTGGTCGATGAATTGGTGCTTATGTCTGGGTCACAATTACTCCGATTCATCGGCCGGCGTCAGGGGCCGATTGCTTTATTTTGTCCAAACCTGATTTCAACTTGCTTTAATTAACCAAACCTCTTTTTGGAACAATGTACAAGTTCTCGGGACCTCAAATTTGATATTTGACCTTCAATTTTGATCTCACTCAATCAGCCATGTGCCAGCCGATGAATCTAAGCAAATGTGACCTAGGCATGAGACTGTCAATAACTTGTGCCTTGGTCACATTTGCTCCGATTTTCACTACGGCGCCCGGCAGATTGACTATTTTGTTCAAAATTGAACACAAAGGAGCACGTAGGTAATCGCAAACAATTTTAAACGATTCTAACTTGGATTGTGAATATTTTCTGATCGTGAACATGGGTGTATCTTTTAGATCCATTGATTATCTTCAAGAAAAGTACAGGGTGGTCCATACTTCAAAAATAAATGTTGATTTTCTTGATGAAAACATGTCATATTATATACCAGTGGATAGGGAATTTACTTATCTTTAATTTGGTATATCATAAGTTCAAATTTATCATAATATCTGTCATCAAGCGTCTGTTATATAAGTGACGTCATTTTCATTTCAAAACGGGTTTCCAAAACTTGCAAAAAACAAGTTTTTTGTGAACTTTATTTACACAAACAGACATTCAATATGTCCACCATTTTGATCAATTATAGCCCTCAATTTTGGCCTAAACTGGTCAAAAACATCATTGATATTCTGTTGAGACAATGAATTCCACTCCTCGACAAGTCTATCCTTATTAAGGGACTGAGTAGATGTAAGGGGTTCATGGTAAACCAATTCTGTGGTTCTCCCAATACGTGGTAGTCGCAGATGTTGACATCAGGTAATCCAATTATGTTGTTTTTAGACCATCCTGGTATGAGCTCATTCTCGAATCATTACATTTTCCAACAAGATGGGGGTCCAAGCAATAGATCTCACAAGAGTGTCAAATGTTTAAAGGAAAATGTGCCTAGATTCATCAACCCAATCGCTTTCCCCCAGACCAGATCACACGATCACCCATCAACTGCGACTACCACGTATGGGGAGAACTAACAGAACTTGTGTACCATGAATCCTTTACATCTGTTCAGTCTCTTGAGGACAGAATTGAATTAATGAGAAGTGAAATTCATTGTCTTAACAGCATATCAATGATGCTATTGGCCAGTTTAGGCCAAAATTGAGGGGTACAATTGATTAAAATGGTGGACATATTGAACGTCTGTTTATGTAAATAAAGTTGACAATAAAACTTGTTTTTGCAAGTTTTGGAAACCCCGTTTTGAAATAAAAATGACGTCATTTATATTATGGACGCTGGTTGATAGACATTATAATAAATTTGAACTTATGATATACCAAATTAAAGATCAGTAAATTCCCTATCCATTGGTCTATAAGATGACACCACCTCCCTGTATATATAATGATAATTTAGTTAATCAGACCTAAGTGGAATTGAAGGAGCAATGCATTTTTGGTGAAAATGGGGTCTTCAGGCAACAACCACACAAGCTTCTGAAAAATTAAATAAAGCAATGTGTCACGCGATGGTTAATGTCGGACCTTAGATGAGGTTTGGTTTGGAACCTGTAAAAGGGACCTTATAAAAGGGACTCCTATCTTACGATTCTCCATTTACACTCATGTTGAAATCGTATGGGTCCCTCTCTTATTCAAGCAAATTAAAGTTGAACATAGCACATACACATAACAAACACTTCATAGGGTTCTGGTAAAAGGATCTTCATTTCGTTTTATTTTAAAAAAGATGTAGAAAAGTTGTAAAAATAGAGAAAACAAAATATTTTAGGTTTTCACACCATAAATGTATTTTTCAACTTGTGATGGCAAACAACAAACGAAACAAAAGCTGAGACTCAAAATTTGGTTTAGCTTGTGCGCCTTTTTAAACTAACTGTGACATTATTTCCATCACGGTAACATTTGAACTGATGTGTCACATCCGTAATCAGATTCATTTTTTGTTCTGTACAAAATTATTTCAATGCATTGTGTTACGCGGTAAACACGATACAAAAATATGTCATATTCCGCAAGGAATATGGCATATTCACTTGCGGTGTATGAGAGATTCACCTGCGGTATATGGCATACAAACTAACCAATGAGAACGTGATACGGAAGTACGCAATTGTCAATTGCATCGATTGAACGAAATAGTAAAACGTTATTAATTATTGTAATGATTACTGAATCAACAGAACTGTGTATCGAATATATTAACTTAGCAGAAGTATCAGTCACCAATCTCGCGTAATAAACTAACTCAATCAATCCAGGATTCATATATTAGTACTCGACGCACTAACTATAATGGTAATACAGCGTAGTTTTACATTTAGAGTCGATTCTCGCAACCAATCAAATCAAGGCTTTCTGTATCACGTTTTCACCTGCGGTATATGTCATATTCACCTGCGGTATATGGCATATTCCGCAAGTGAGTATGACATATTCCGCAGTTGAGTATCGGGTATTCACTGAAATCAATGTATCGCATATTCACTGCGGAATATCGCATACTCACCTGCGGAATATGCCATATACCGCAGATGAGTATGGCATATTCACCCGTATCACAAATACCGCGCAACCATGAATGTATGCCATATACCGCGTAACACATTGGACCATATACTGCTACCAATTTGTATTTCATTTAGAGGAGATAAGTCCTCTCCTTTCAGAAAAATTGTTTTGAAAGCCCAAGTACCAGACAATGTGAAAAACGAAAGTGCAACAAATATTTGGCAAAAAAATGTTTTCAGTTTTTATTTTGTCTTATTTCTATAAGACAAAGTTAATTTTCACTAAACTTTTTACTGTTGTGTAAACGAAGACAATATACTATAATATTTAAAACAATTTTACTGAATGTAAGATTTTGTTAATAAGTGTTCTGATAGATTTAGTCATAGATAGAACATGATGCCATTTTTTTCCTGCGATGATACTTCTGGAATTATCAAGGTAATATATTATATTTTTAAAAAATGATTTCAACGATTTTCTAACGTCTAAATTAGACCCTGTTTGCAACATACTGATGCAGAATACTGTGATTTCTGTATCAGAATGTTTGAAATAATTCTACGTGATTGGCAACAGAGTATTGTCAAACCCCTCCATAAGGAAGGTAATCCAGAAGTTTTCAATAGAAAATCATATCTTTTCCCTGAAAGGACCATGTACACGTAGCCTTCGTAAAGATAAGGAACCTAAATCCTATTTAGCTTTTATTGACAATTCTAAGGCCTTTGACGTTTTAGATCGTGATTTGCTCTTTTTTTAAAACTTTGGGAAAAGGAATCCAAGGTAAAACTTGGAGGATTTTGAAATCACTATACTCTAACGTTGCGAAATATGTTTCTCCCATTTTAAGTAGCAGTTTATTGTCTTCGAACATTCGTGATAAGTTAATTACACTACTTGGTGATAAGGTTTTTATAGAATGGGGGGTATGACATTTTTATATATTTGACAAATATGTGAAGATGTTTTTAGCAACAATTTTTAACCCTTGAAAATTGAAGTATTTTATGTAAACATTTTAGTGCTTATAAAATATATATGTAGATTACAAACACCGACGCTCCTAATGCCGCTGTCAAAAAAGCGTATGTCAAAATAAAAAAAAATTAAAATAAATAGGTCGCCAGTTTTTGAGTTTATTCTTGTTCATTCCTTTTTTGAATCAATGTTATAATTCCTTTTCTGTTCAGTTGCCATATTTCATGTTTTTGCGAGTAGTTAAAGATTTTTACCATCAGATCGACTATATCATCTGCAAAATGTTTGTAAAATCTACTTGTGAGTCCATCACTGACAGGTGTTCTGTTGTTACTTAATCTTTTTATTTGCTTCCTACACCTTCCTACCCCTTTCCATATTCTAATGCGGTCGGAGTTCTATTTATTGTCGAAATATCTGTTATTTTTTCAAATATGTAGTACACCACATTATATAGTATTGAATTTTAGTTGCCGATCTTGAGTCCATTTTTGAACAAGTTCGATATCCCTCTATATCCCTCTGTAGTAATGGAGTCTTGTATCGTCAGCAAATAGCACAGGCCGATTAATCTGAGCAAATATGACCCAGTGCTTATGCCTGGGTCACATTTGCTCCGATTCATCGGCCGGCGTCCGGGGCCGATTGCAGTATTTTGTTCAAGCCTGATTTCAACTTGCTTCAAATTAACCAAACCTTTTTTGGAATAATGTACAAGTTCTCAGGACCTCAAATTTGATATTTGACCTTCAATTTTGATCTCACTCAATCAGCCAGGTGCCAGCCGATGAATCTAAGCAAATGTGACCTAGGCATGAGACTGTCAATAACTTCTGCCTTGGTCACATTTGCTCCGATTTTCACTACGGCGCCCGGCAGATTGACTATTTTGTTCAAAATTGAATACAAAGGAGCACGTAGGTTATCGCAAACAATTTTAAACAATTCTAACTTGGATTATGAATATTTTCTGAACATGGGTGTATCTTTTAGATCCATTCATTATCTTCAAGAAAAGTATATATAATGATAATTTATTTAATCAGACCTAAGTGATATTGAAGAGGCAATGGACCAATCAACATACTTTTTCAAAAATGTTGACCTGATTTTCACCAAAAATGCAACCTATTATCATATTGTTAAATGCATAATTTGAATTGTGCTTTGAGACATGTTCGATTTCCTAAAAGGAAAATTTGATTGCTCCAGGGACTTTAAAGATATTCAATTTGGATGACTAAAATGAACTGGAACCAATGGATAGCATGAGATTTTCCAATGGAGAGTTTTTCTTTCAAGAACTGTTTGATACATTAAAATAAAGAATAGTAATGCATTAAAAATTGTGAAAAAATGATTGCATTTTTGGTGAAAACGGGGTCAACATCTTTGAAAAAGTGTGTTGATGGGTTAATTGCAAGTTAAATATCTCCGAGTTTGTTTGAATTTATTTTTACTGTGCATCATTTTCTTTGAGATGATGAATTGATCTAAAAGATAAACTTGTTTTCATTGTCAGAAAATAGACATAATCCAAGATATAACCTTCTGAAATTGTTTGCGATAACCCACGTGCTCCTTTGAACAAAACACTCAATCGGCCGGGCGCCGGCCGATGGATCGTAGCAAATTGACCCAGGCATTATTAACTTATAAACTTATATACATAATAGAAGTGAAAGCTATCGAAAATTGTCATTACCTCCAGCCGAGAAATGCAAATTGCATCCAGATCCAGGTTAAGACGAGGCAAAGAATAGAACATGGAAACCCAAATGCTAACCATGATACAAATGTGACACCCGATCCACCCATTCCAAATTTTTCATACAGCCTGAAAAGAGCAGTCTTTATGTAGTGTATACTAAAAGATGCTAGTTAGGGAATAGTTCGATTGCAATGTTGAATTTAATATGAAAAATATGGCCTTTGGTAAACTTTGTACGGTTGGAATTCGCCGATATTTGGTAAAGGTTTTGAGACAAAAGTTATGTAAAACTACACTTCCATAGTGACCGTTTACATTTCCGGATCTGACTGAGTTCGTGTCAGCAAAATATGATTCGGGTAATAATTATCGATGGATTGCGCACATGTCGTAAAAAGTAATTCAAAAACCGATGGATTGCGCACATGTCGTAAAAAGTAATTCAATAAGTAATAAGATGTAATGTCACTCATGGCGGTTTGGGGGAAGTAAAGTTTGCACTATAAGAAATCAAAGTATTACTCATCGGCATTTTCTTTAAATATAAGGTTGGCAGAGTGTCCAGTTAGTGTCCCTATGCCCCCAACTGCTGTGGCGTACGCAATGCACAACGTCAGTCCTTTCTCCATACTAGCGTGTCGTCCTGTGTGCTTTGCGGTTTCATGTGAATCGGCCATACTAGATTGCTTCTCCTTTCAAAAAATATGTTGACGTTTTTATGATAATGCTGGCTAGCATAGATACAAGGCATAAAATATAACAAAATATCAGTACAGGGTGGTCAACAAAAACGGCAACCCTAGTTTTTCTTATATCTTTGTCATTCTAAGAAATAACTCCCGGATATTTTACACATTTGTACATCATTCAATTTCCTACCAACCTATTATATTTCATGACCATCGGACCGATAGTCACAATATTACTGCATTTTAAGCAACATACCCCAGATGGCCACTTTCGGGCTGTCTGAGCTGGTCTGTTTTTCAAATGAACTACATTTCCAACTCGATGCACTGGTAAACTCTAACAATTATGTATTCTTGGGGAGCCAAGCACTTTATGAAGTAGTGGAGAGGCACCTTCACACAGACAGATGCACAGGTTAGTGTGTTCTCAGAAGATAGGGTCCTTAAACTTTGATGATGCTTACAGATATGCAATAACTGTCAACATCAAACTCTATTTTGTGATTCCCATGGAGTTCTTAGGGACTTTAGGTGAACACAGGGGGTTGATAGGCAGCAACAGTGGTTCCAACAAGACAGAACCATACCACATACACCAAATGATGCACAATAATGACTTTGGGACCACTTCAATGACGACATTATCACCAGTACAACAGACAATGAATGGGTATCCCATAATCCAGATTTGGCCCCATTTAATCTTTACCAGTGGGGATACCCCAAAGATAGAGTGTAGAGTAATAACACCAGAAAGACATTTGACCTCAAAATAAAGATTACATGTGTCATTCAGGCCGTACTTGCTGAGGAATGCAGTTATGTCATTGACAGGTTTGGAAAACGTGTGCAGGTTTGCCTACAGCACGATATTGGAAAACTGGGGCACCTTGTTTAAAGCGCTGTAACATTGCGACTATCAGTCCAGTGTTCACGAAACAACACAGTCAAGTATAAAATTGAATGATGTACATGTGTGCCAATTATCAGGGCAAAATTTACAAAAATGACAAAGATATGAGGAAAAATTAGGGTTGCCGTTTTTTTGACCACCCTGTATCTCGCCAGCCACCATTCTGACTCTAATTAGCACTGCTCTCTGTTGCATTAAGGGAATAGAGATGGAGAAGGGAAGGGCTGCCTTGATGATAAGTCAAAGTCATTCGAAAAGTCTAACATTCGTTAAAGGCTCTCGCTACCAAAAGCCGGTCACAAAAGATAGACGCGTACGGCGACTAATACCTCCCCACTCTTTTGTTCATGACATTACGAATTACAAAACAGATAACGAAATTGAATCCTACATTGACCCATAACATTGTCCAGATACTTACTGGTGCATATCTAAAATCTTCGGGTGCATCCCCGTCGGAACCCGTTACTAGATTCAAAGTGACAGGTTCGTGTTCCTCCTTAATATACCTAGTAGGTACATCTTCTGCTCGGACAACAATATACATTAATTAATAACAATTTAATTAGAACCCTATCCAAAATCTACAAACGTCAAGGAAGATACTATACCACTGTGGAACCTTGTCACGAAATGAGATAACGTAATCAAGTAAAAAATAGTGTAGAAGTTCCAATAAATGAACAGAAATCAAGTGACTGATTCTCCAGAAAGCCCATGGCTTCACTGATGGTATTAATCTGTTCTTATATGTATTCGCTAATTTGGAAATAGAAATGGCCAAATATTTTGTAACAATTTCAAGCTATTTAAAATGAAGTAGTTTCACCTAGGGGAACGATTTCGATGTCTTCACATTCTCCTTCTTTGCGTAGTTCTTCGAGATTTGAAAGAACGGCTTCGAGAGTTGGTAACATCATAGCAACAGTTGAACCAGAAGTACTCATGAACATGGCCAGAAACCACGTGACCGAGAGAAATCCCAACATCAACCTACAATGATTTATATACAAATAGATATTCATATTTAATCGGTCAGCGGTTGGCTTTGGCAAACTGCAAATAACTCATGTTGTGCCAGAAGTATTCATCTCGTTGTTTGAATTAAAACGATGCTTCTCTTCCTGATTGGATATTATCATGCAATAGTGGATGTAAAAACAGGAATACAGTTTTCAAAAAATCCTCCATGTTTTATGCATTTCCTTAATCGTGTAAGTTTGATTTCACTTCCTACCAATTGAAAATAATGATTGAAGACTATTATGGCTTTTTTTGCTTCTTTATACATTAAATTCAAGTTAATTCGATATATGGAATATTTACGGTATATTCGCTAATTCAAATTTTCATTCAATGAAAACGTTCATACATTTAATACAGCAAATTAGATTTTCAGAATAGAATGTTTTTGTGTAAATTGTTACGGTATTCCTTAAGAGTAGCATATAAAGAACAATATCGAATTTCTATTTGAACCCTACCAAAATATGTTTGTCTATATTTACCAAATGATTAATTTTTCTACAACATAGTAAATGCATTTTGCCGAAAGTTAATTTGTTATTTACCGAATGCAATAATGTAATATTCGATAACTTTCGTTGTTGTCGCGATATTTTGTCACGTGACCTCGAGTTAGCAAAATGGCCGCGCTGCTGTTCTACATCGTCAAAATATATCACGTGACTGAAAATCTCGTAAAGTATCGAAAAATAACGAAATTTATCGAATATGGCATTCGGTATTTACCGAATATAAATAATCTAAATACCGAATGTACAAAAAATTGAATGAATTATACATGCGTTATTATTAATATGTTTATTTGCCCTCCATTCTTGGAGATAATTAATAATATTTGGTAACAAAAAATATAAAATCATTCAATACATATAGTTACGGACGGATGTCCGCACAAAGTACATTGAATACGTGACCCATCTCTCTAGATATGGTGACGTCTTCCTGAAGGTCGACTCTCCTCTTTGTAGAGATTCAATCATCATAAAACTTTGTGTCGTATTTATACATTATAGTCGTAAAAGATATAGATATTTCATGAATGTATATAGGTGGCGCTTACATTACATATTTCTCTTCGCCCTTAGCTTAACATCTTATGAATACATGACTTACCGCTTTACTCAAGGAGACGTCTTCCCCAAGGTCGACTTGTTAGGGATAACAAATTGATTCGCTGCATTGCACAAATACACGTATAAACATGTAAATGCCAACACAAAGGACAAGTGTAACTATTTAGCGAAAATAAATTTTAAAGCTTTTAATATTCGATAAATAAAAAAATATTCGATAGATTGGGCAAAGGTTTGGTAAATTGATTGTTTTATTTGGTGTGTATTGAATATTCAATGTATGTTTATGTTTATAAAGAATATATATAGCAGCTTAAACACAAGAGCAGACAAGTTGCTCTCATGACGAAAAATAAAAGCATCGTAAAACACACTTGAATTTGCGAATTATAATTAACCTGTTTTCGAGAAACTGGCTGAAAGAATTGTTTTAAATAAAAGAATAAAAAAGAAATTCAAAACACGATGAGGTAGAGATTTGATGATTTATTACCACCGAGGCTGCGTTCCCAACAACAGCAAGATTCTCAGAGCGATTCGCCTGTGTAGATTCACGCGTTCTATACCCAGCGCTACCATTAGTCCTGCTATTTGCAACATGCTTATATCCTTGATGTAGTTCATGGAGATATCTGCGCTTTTCATAATGCCCATCAAAGGAACAAGAATGACTGGTATTAGGGCGGTTACACCCATTGGAATACATTCTGTCAACCAATATATCGCCATTAAAATGATAATATATCCACATTTTGCTACCTAAAATATCAAAACGATTTTAATGTTTAAATTAAAAGTGGTATAAAAGAAACAGTGGTTATAGACTTGTTGATTGATACACTGTTGAAAGCTAGATCATACACGCGAGATTTCACACCGATGAGATTATATACTGATAAGAATACACACTGGTGACAATATATATACAGGGTGTCGAATAAGTCCCCCTTCTACAGCCCATACCAAGATATATGGTACCAAGTGTGATATATCATTGGAAAGGTCTTCCAAAGTTACGTTGATTAGCATATATCTGACACATGTCAATCAATCTCACAAAGTTTTACAGTGTATCAATTGAGATGACCACAGGCCTAGAAACATGGCAATTCGGCGCATTTGGCAGGATTTTCAGAATCGGGTATAAGAAAGGTCAAAGGACCTAAAAATGACTACATATGTTTATGGTAATGAATTTAACCAATTTCCGGATAGGGGAAGATGTGTAGAAAATAGTGGTGAAAACATTTTTTTAACAAGTTGAATGCGAAAAAGATTAAATTTTTGACGTATTTCTGAGGTCAAATCCTTCTCATTTTGAAGCAAAAAAGCTGCTTAAAGGAGGGTACGCTAACTATAAAAGACATCATGAAAATATAGGTGAAGTTCATCCAAAATACTTAAGAGTTGGTGAGTTAACATAACTTTGTATGATCTTTCCAATGATATATCACACTAGGCACCATCTATTAAGGTTCTAGCTGTAGCAGGGGGGACGAGATTTATTTGACACTGTATATATATTGATGAAAATATACATCGATTAAGCAATATACTAATGAGAATACACACTGGTGAGAGTATATACTGATGATACAGCTAGCTACAATAAATAATTTTAGGATTATTCTCAAATGTGTGCCAGATTATGAAGAAACTTGAGATAAGCTGACGTTTGCAATGGGTGAATGGGGTAGGTAAATATGCGTTTCAACTTAAAAATGAACCATAAACAGAACAAATAATTATTATCGTAAATTGTGTCTGTGTGAGATATGTAACTCAAATGTAAATGAAAATAATTAAGATGCAGTTTATAATTCCTACACAGGGTGATATGCCAATATGGCTTATAGCTTATAGCTCAGCCTTTATAGCTCAGTTGGTAGAGCATCATTCTTTGGATCCAAGGGTCCTAGGTTCGATTCCCACACGGGGCATTGAATTTAGCACACTTTCTTTCAATTTCTTTATCTGGCTTGTTACACTATGCTCATTATAGTCGTTATAATGAGGGGCGCCTTCGGGTCATTACATTGGTGTCAGAAGTGGGATCAGAGCATTGGTTGTATCCTTTGCGCCCATGTGTATATGATAGTCACTGCTAGGGAAGCAGGGCTGACCACGAGGGCGTGGTCCTTTCAAAGGGGGAGATAGTGTAACGACCCTTGATAGAAAGATGCTACTACAGTCCAGATGTAGTGGCTTAAGCCTCTTTAGCTCAGTCGGTAGAGCATCAGACTTTGGATACACGGGGCATTGAATTTAGCACACTTTCTTTCAATTTCTTTATCTGGCTTGTTACACTATGCTCGTTAGTTCGTTAGTTAATTAGTTATTCCCCTGGGGCGCCCTCGGGTCATTACATTGCCACTGCGTTCTTCAAAACTGGTTTTAAACTGTGTGCGAACGGAATGAACGTAGCAACAACATTCTATGTTCTGTTTACCCTACTATCACACCTAACTAGTTCTCACTTCGTTATCGAAAACGGGCTTCAACTGTGTACGAACGGACTGGACGTACTTAGAACCGTTTAGGGTCTTTTACAAACTTCATCGAACGTACTCGAACGGGTAGGTCCTCTAGAACCTAGATCATGCTCAAAATGTTCTCTTGGTCGTCACGTTCTACAATTAGAACGAGTGACAACCAACTAACAACGAACTGGACGCACTACGAACGGAACCGTCTTACCTCAATCCTACTAGGGACGTTTTTACAACGAGTTGAACTGTCTGAGGACGTATTGAGAACGAGGTAGAACTAATTGCAAACGGGTTAAAACTTACTAAGAACGTATTTATTAACGATTTAGCAAAAATATAGCTATCAAACCAAGGAAGTTGCCACTGCGTTCTTCAAAACTGGTTTGAAACTGTGTGCGAACGAAATGAACGTAGCTACAACATTCTATGGTCAGTTTACTGACTTCATGGACTTTCCCGGACGGGGAATGTGATTTAGAATTTTGAATCGATTCAAAATTCGATGGCGACCATACCGTTCTGTAATCAGGTCATGATGACCTTCTAGACTAAGGGACGCGTTATACGACGTTGTGCACCGACGTGGTGCGACCTGAACGAATTGCGAATGAGATGGACGTATTGAAGACTGTTTATGAACGAAGTAGCTAATTATTTTAGACATATTTCCCGACCACAGCCAGATTGAGCCCGTTTTACTACGTTTTCGTAGGACTGGCAAGTACGGGTAAGAACTAGTTTGATGAGATGGGGGGTTACAAACGTCATGGACTTTCCCGGACGAGGAATGTGATTTGGAATTTTGAATCGATTCAAAATTCGATGGCGACCATTCCGTTCTGTAATCAGGTCATGATGACCTTCTAGATGCAGGGACGCGTTATTTGACGTTGAACACCGACGTGGTGCGACCTGAACGAACTGCGAATGAGATGGACGTATTGAAGACTGTTTATGAATAATAACGAAGTAGCAAATTATTTTAGACGTATTTCCCGACCACAGCCAGATTGAGCCCGTTTTACGACGTTTTCGTAGGACTGGCAAGAACGGGTAAGAACTAGTTTTGTGTGATAGGGGGGTTAGCGCTGATTGAGAACTCATTTCAGAAAATATTAGTCCTAAATGAGCACTTAAAGGTATGCCATGATTCCTGATTTATTGCGTGTTTTAGTACTAAATTAGTACTCATATGATGAGTGATGAAATAGCGCTTATTTCATTGATTTTTCATTACTCACTGAACAATCATACATACGCCGAATACCCAGTTAGTACAAAATTAGTAATAAATTAGCACTCGTGGCATTAGTACTCAAGAGCGCCATTTTGCCAGAGTGCTAATTTAGTAGTGCATATTTGCCTGTGTAGGACCAAATCCTATGTGAAAAACTAACAATTTCATTGTTATTGGCATCACTTTCGACGAAAATAACTTTGCCCCTTTATCCCAAATAACCTTGATATTTCTGCCAAAATGTGTAATTTTGAGAGAAAAATAACGGAAGCACAGAACCAACTTGCAAGAAAAAGAACGTAAGCAGGCTACAATGATGAGATACGGTTTAACTTTTAAAAGAAAAGTGAGCGTAGCAATGAAAGAATTTGATGGAAAATAGAAAAGACTAAATAGCAAAAATAAAAAGTATGATAAGAAATTGAAAATCAAGAAGTAAAATTGGCATAAGGATAACAAACCCCTGTATTCCAAGGTATGACATAAACCAATAAAAACGATGAATGTCTAACTTTCCTCTCAATGTATTTTTTAAAAAAGTTCTTACCTGGGTCTCCCCAACAATAAGGAACGGAAGTAAAAGTAGTGGTGTCAATACGATCACTAATGTAGACTTTATTACCCATAAATATTTGCAAACTCTCCCGAAAGTCAATTCACCCATCCTGTATTCTTTGTTTTTGCTTCTGATTTTCTCTCCAGTAGTTTAATTTGCGCCCAGAGCGCAAATGCGTAATAAATAGTAGCCCTGACACTTTATATTTCAAATTTGATTTGATTTATCACTTTTTGAGCTGAATTAAAATAAAAGATATCTGGGGAAATGTTAAGCTCTCCGCAACGAACAATGTGGCTATCCAATGTAAACTAGATCGTTTTTTAGGTATTACCACAGAGGTCGGCAATTAAACATATTTGCCCGACGAGCAAGTAGCCAATGCAGTATGTAAATGTGGGTGTATTATGGAGTAAAATTACCCAAAGCTAGTATGAACTTCAATGACATCCGTTGTACTATTACAGTACTTGACCAAGTTGAATATGTTTTATAATTTTACAATATTAGTTTTGTCAAATTTTATTGTTCTTTATGGACTCTCAAAATTACAGAGTGGCGAGCATATTTAATTTTAATATTTAACTTCGTTTCAGTACATTTTCTGAATTAAATATTCGAGCACCTTACGGTTTACAATGATTTTGATCAATTAGATCAAAAAGTTGTATCAATTTGGTTTATATCATTTTGTCGCATCTATTAAAAATTCGATTACTTCGACCAAACATACAGAATACAGACATAACGATAAAAAAGCCATGGGATATTTGTGAGTTTCTACATTAAAATATGGCATACATCAAATACAGCCATCAAAGATTATAAATTATAACTTAATATATATTCTAGTAGCACTTCACCTAAAAACTACACATGCAAACTGTAAATACTGTACCTATGGGCAAATTGACCACCTCGAGTTTTTCGATTGTACTGTTTTGCAAGCTTTTTGTACCTCTGTTATTTTTCTTGCTTGATCCACAGATATAAGACACCTTTTGCATAAAAATCAAGGTGATTGGGGGTAGAGGGGCAAATTTTTGATAGTTTGAGTTTTTCTCAAACTACTCGATGATTTTTTGCATGTTTCTAAATGGTATTCGTATTATAATGACAACACTCTCCAAATTTTAATATATATATTTATTTTTCCATTACCCCAATTCTTTTAATTTCACATATTCTATTAACATTCCGTTACTATGTTATTATGTAAATAAGAATTCAAGATTATGCAAATAAGAATTCAAACATAAAGAGGCTTTAACACATAAACGAAACAAAACTTTTGGAATTGGAGGAGTGTGAAAGAGTTAACATGCAAATTATGTTTTTCTATTTTTATATCCATAACTGTTACTGCTTGACACAACCTTTTTATTGTTTATTGACGTTTCGAAAACACTTCGTGTTTCTTTCTCCATTTAAGGTTGCGTTAAACAGTAACAGTTATGGATATAAAAAGTAATTACCAACCTGAAGAAATATGTTCAGAAATATGATTTTCTTTGTTTGCAAAATATAGGTCAAGTAAACAAGGACGATGTCTACAGATTCTAGGATATATATATAATTTGCCCATTTTGTATTAAATCCCAAATAAGACTTGAAACAGTTAATATTTGAAATGAACTTAATGCTTTTTCGGGAGAGTTTGCAAATATTTATGGGTGATAAAGTCTACATTAGTGATCATATTGACACCAATACTTTTACTTCCGTTCCTTATTGTTGGCGAGACACAGGTGAGATCTTCTTTTCAAAATACATTGAGAGAAATGTTAGACATTCGTCATTTTTATTCGTTTATGTCATACCTTGGAATACAGAGGCTTGTTATCCTTATGCCAAGTTTACTTCTTGATTTTTATTTTCATGTCATACTTTATATTTTTGCTATTTAGCCTTTTCCATTTTTCATCAAATTCTTTCATTTCTACGCTCACTTTTCTTTTAAAAGTTAAAACTGTATCTCATCAGAGATATCAAGGTTATTTGGGATAAAGGGGCAAAGTTATTATAGTCGAAAGTGATGCCAATAACAATGAAATTGTTAGTTTTTCACATAGGATTTGGTCCTACACAGGCAGATATGCACTACTAAATTAGCAGGCTGGCAAAATGGCGCTCGTGAGCACTTATGCCACGAGTGCTAATTTATTACTAATTTTTCACACTTTTGAAAAAATGACTAAGTCAGAGAATGGCCTCTTAATGGCATGTCCCCTTTAGAAATTCCTGTATCTTTTCATGCATAAGTATTTGGAATTCACTCCCACTTGAATTGAGATGTCCAACAATATCCACCTTCAAAAATCATGTCAAAAGAAACTTCTCATCTCAACCAAAGATATTTACAAATTGTCAAAATATTGATATTGATAGACTTTATGAAATAAGTTTGAACAGGCTTAGAGTAGAACTTCTTTTAAAATCACAAAAATATGTTCATAACTTTCCTGGAATTTTGGATGACCTCTGTCAATGTGGAAAACCACAAACTACTGAACACTTTTTCCTTCACTGCAACCTACACATCGATGAATTTTTCTAGATTCAAATGTTCGAAACACAATTGAATTTCTACTTAATGGAAATGATGAACTTACGATTGAAGAAAACCAAGCTGTGCTGCAGATTACTGCCAACTTTGTATTCAACTGTAAATAGTACTAATTATTTAATTTGTTTTCTGCTTATTGCCTAAACACCCTTGACAGAAAACCTGACACCACCCTTTAGTTTTTTTGTTTTTTATAATTTTACTATGTATGTCTATCTATGTATTTTCTTCAACATGTATTGTAATGACTTCAGTATGAATGAAATGTCCCTTGGTGTTCTGGTCCTGGATTGTGATATTGGTTCTCGATTGGAGGGGGAGGGGGATGTTAGACATTGTTTCTTCTCACGTTAGATCATGGTTTTGGGATATAGGGTCTACTTTTCTTATGACAGATTGACACTTGCAGTTTGCTTTTCTTGTTGGGTTTCTTTAACGTTTTTAGTCACCCTTCCCTTTGGCATTTGTGCTTATACAGGTTGTCAAATAAGTCCCGTCCCCCCTCTACAGCCAAAACCAAGATATTTGGTACCGAGTGTGATATATCATTGGAAAGGTCTTCCAAAGTTACGTTGATTGGTATATATCTGACACATGTCAATCGATCTCATAAATGTTTACATTGTTTCAATCGAGGTGACCATATGCTTAGAAACATGGCAATTTGGCGTATTTGGCAGGATTTTAAGAATCGGGTATAAGAAAGGTCAAGGGACCACAAGATTACTAAATATGTTTATGGCCATGAATTTAACCAATTTCTGGATAGGATTAGATGTTTAGAAAATAGAGATGCAAGGAAAGTGATGAAAACCTTTTTGTAACAAGTGGAATGCAAAAAAGTTAACTTTTTGACGTATTTCTGAGGTCATATCATTGTCATTTTGACGCAAAAAGCTACTTAAAGGAGGGTACATTAATTATAAAAGACATCATAAAAATATAGGTAAATTTCATCCAAAATACTTGAGAGTTGGTGAGTTAACATAACTTTGGATGATCTTTCCAATGCTATATCACACTAGGTACCGTCTATTAAGGTTTTAGCTGTAGCAGGGGGGTGGGACTTATTTGACACCCTGTATATATTTAAATAAAAAAAACTGCCACCAATGTTTTTCAACTTCGGCAGTCACTACCTGTGTAATTTGTATGTACTAAAATTGAATAAAGAAGAATAAAATAAATAAAACAAAAAAGGGTAAATTTTACATACTATTGATAACATGTATGAAAGCGATCCAGAAATGGCTCAAATAACGGCTGTTTAATTCTTAGTTGTGTTGGATCGTAAAATTCATATATTTGATCAATATAAACGGAGATAACTAACACTTAACGGTAAGACAATCATTTTCCCTGTTTTAATACAACTGCTGTCAAACTGCTTATTGCCAATCAATCATGTATGTTAAGCCAAAAAGGTACTACTTAATTTCGGTAATTCTTTGGTGTGTTGGTTGGGAGAATCATGTGACAATTTGAGCCTAAATACAAACGAGTTTTCAAATAACTTCCGTGGTATCCGCGGGGGAACATTTTTTGGAATAAAATCACGAAGCTATATGTGCGATGCGGTGTCTGAAACGATATGTATATGAGCCTGGCCATAGGAAAACCGGTCTTATCACAAAAATTAGAATATTGCTACAGAGCCAAAAATGTGCCCAAGATTAAGAGGAAAATGTGCTAAATTTAAATTCGACTTTTTGGTCTATATATGCAACGAAAAATTGTTAAGACATAAGCCATGGCTCATTTGAAAGGTCTCTTTGTGCTTTCTAAGACAAACAAAAAATCCGATTATTGAAAAAAAATGTGATAAGACCCCTTTTCCTGTGGCCTGGCTCATATACAGGGTGTCCCGAAAGTATGCCCCCCCCTATACAGACATATACCAGTGTCGTCATAGTATGTGTCATATGTCATTTTAAAGCTCATCCAAAGTTACATTACATTCACCAGTATCATGGTTCAACTCTCAAATGTGAAAAGATGACAGGCATTTCAAAATTTAGTGTTTGGTCAAAATTAAGTTCAATTTTACACCAAATCACTAGTCAATGTGTCCTTCAGGGCCATCGTAACAGCAGCAATTCTTTTCGGGTCAGATGGATATTGAGTTAGAAAAAGAGAATGGTGAGGGTAGAAACTCTAAGGAAACTCTTCTAAAGTGTCATAACAGGTTTTAAGAGGGTTATAAAATTCCACACCCCTATTTGAAGGGCTTTTAAGGTCATATCTGAAAATAATTGCTGCTGTTAACATGGCCAAGGGGGGACTCATTGACTAGTAATGTGGAGTAAAATTGAACTTTATTTTGACAAAACACTAACTCTTAAAATGACTGTAACTTTTTCCCAGTTGGGAGTTAAACCATGATACTTGGCAAATCAATGTAACTTTGGATAAGCTTTAAAATGATATATGATACATACTACTTTTTCCATTCGCTTCTGTAGATGAAGGTAATAATCTATTATTCTTTTGTCAATGGTATTCAAAATCGGACACCATCCTAAATCACCAATAACCGCTTCCCTGGCAGGCTTCATATTTAGATTAAAAACTAATCTTCCAATGTTATATTGGAAAGAATTCATATCGTTACATTTGGATTTGGATTCAAAAGTAAGAATACCACACCCATGTTATATTGCTGGA